CTGCTGAAGCAGATGGCAGAAACTCCATCCGTTTCAGAGTGATGAAGTGAGACTGCTCAGACAAATGCTTTCATAGTTTTGAACCTGTGAGGTTTTGCTCTGTGTTCAGGAAATAACAGGATATAAATCTGCCTGAATCATCCCAGCTCACGCAAATTTAATGCTGGGCCACAGTGGCTCTGGCAACATCTTGTTCTTTTTGTATAATGACTTTTGATGCTGTGGATTTAGACGGATTAGGCCATTTAGGGGAAAGAGGGGAATATTAATATACAAAATTGTTAAATGTCAAATGAAATCCCTTAATAATGTGTGTGTTTAAGACGAGTATGCAGGCACTTTGAAAACACTTCTAGCACCAGCTCAAACATTTAAGAAATCCAGTTTGCAAGTTCAAACAAATAATCCTCCACCAATTATGCTGTACCTGTGTGAGTCTGATGGATAATTCTGTAGACTCAGTTGGGAGTGAAGGCCCATTTTCTTATTGTTGTCAGTAGCACTGGCATATTTAATTCTTCATACAACTGGCTGAATGAGCAAATCCCACAGGTAAGTGTAAAACTTGCAACCAAGAGTTAGTTTTCGTATTTCCCACAAATTAATTGCCTAAGTGGCTGAGTTTACTTGTTTTCAAGGCCAATGTGTGTCAGTAGATCTGGATCTTGACAGTCCCTACCCTGAAGGCCTCTACATTTTGGTCTTAGAAATGCTTGCCAAATAATAGCCTGGGATTTGGTGGGAAGGACATTTGAAAAGGGTTGAGAAGTCATAATAAGAATGTAATAATTTATATTTTCTAACTTTCGTGCAGCCTGCAAATATGACCATCTTTCATTTATTGATTCAAAAATAATGTCCTTCCTAAAGCTGGAGGTAAATATGTATAAAATCGTCTGTGAGGACCAGCTCTGTGACACAGAGATAATGCACTGCTGAGGAGAAGCTGGATCCTACAAGGTACCAGGTTTGAATCTCTGGCTCTACCAGCCTAAAACATGCTGGGCCCAGCTCTGAGGGCTAGAGGACTGGACTGGAGGAAGGGGATGGTGGTATGACCAGACCTGTGGAGGGTGATCGTCACTTTCTCTCTGTCCCCCCTACCCCACCCTCTCTCTTACATGCATACGCTTGCACTGTGTCATGAACAAGAAAAACGATAGGCCCCAGTATCTCATCTCATAGATGTAAGTGAAGGACTCTGGAGGACAGATGGGAAGATTCTGTGTCATATGGGGATGGGACTGTGGGAGTAGTCAGGGAAGTCACTTGAAGGGGATAGTATTTGTTTTGGCTGTGATAGTGATGCAAAGTTTAAAAGGGCTTAGTTCCCATCCCACTGTGGATGTTTGGCTGAATCTAATGATCTAGGCAACAGGACTACATCAGAAACCGTGTAGGAAACAGAAGGAGAACTATTACTCACATTTCCATACCATCAACTTGAGTTTTGTTGGCATGTTGTTGGCTGTTCTTGCCAGCTTTTTCCTGGATGTGACTTCGCTATAGCTGTGGTTATCATATTAAACACATATTTTTACATTTATTTTTAAAAATTAGCTAGTAATTGAAGCAGTTTTTCATGACCTCACAACAATGGGCAGATTGAAAGGGGGAGAAAGGAAGACAAAATTCTTACAGTAGAAGGTGGTACATTGGCAGGGAGGCCACTGGGGCGGCACATTGGATTTTGTGTAGGGTCCGGAATGCCCTGCTAAGGAGCTGGGGTTTTATTGTGTAGGTGATGGAAAGCCATTGGAGGTTCTGGGAAAGATGGCAACATGACTCCAATGTGATCCTCTTGAGCTATCTGGGTGGCATGGTAGTTAAAGCAGCTGGATACCATATTACTTACTGTGCAGTTCAAGTCCTACACCTGGTGGCTTGAAAAACACACTGGGCACATATGCATGTGTGCCCAAAATCCTGAGAGGAGAATAGAGGAGAAGGGACTGAGGTGTGGTCATTTTCCCTGGGGGGCATGCTTTTTCACTCACTCTCTTTCACTGTCTGGCAAGTGCACAGGCCCTATAGCAAATTAAAAAAAAAAAAATATATCGTGAGCTACTCTAGGGCTGGCTTTGGAAATTCTTAGATTCCCTGAGATGCTTATTCATCTACACAAGATACTAAGAAATTCCTAAGTCAATCATTTTTCTGCCCATTCACCCACCTATCTACCTACCCACTTTTCTTTTTGTTTTCTTTTTGTTTTAGAGAAATTTTTGCTATAGCGTGAGTGCACTCACCAGAGAGACAGAGAGACAGAAAGCATGAAATCACCCCCAGGAGATATGGCCATCCTGCAGTTCCTTCTCCTCTCAGTATTTTGGGCATGCACGCACATGCACCTGGTGTGAGTTTTAAGCTGCCAGATCCAGGAATCGAACCGCCATTGACTATGTGAGAGTGTCTAGCGATGTAACCATTATGCCATCTGCTGGTCCTGCTATCCACTTATCTTTATTCTGTATCAAGAGTGAGCCAGGTGATTTATCCAGTTCTGGGGATATAAAAATGATTCTTGTGTCCAGGTTTCAGAATCCTATAGGAGAGGGATGAAGAGAGGGTGAGTATGCGCTGGTCCAGAGGCCTACACACAGTGTCATGGGTGCATGGGCAGAACCCACTGCTTCAGACTGCCACAGGGGAAGGGTGGGGCAGAGGTGGAGCTCTGGCTTACTCACTGAGTTGAGAGCTCCATACATCTTATTTATCGTTGCATGCCCAGCACCTAGCATAATACCTGGCACATAGTAGGTGTTCAGTAAATTTTAATTAAATGAATGAGGTGTCTAAGAGGTAGAAGGACCCCTCAAAGGTCATCTAGTCTATCCACCTGGCTCTAGGCTGGGCCGCACCTAAATCATCTCAACTGCTATTTTGGGTGCGGTTATTCTTAGCTGGCCTTTCTGACAGCTGGAAAGAATCAGAGAAGCAACCTCTCCTCTGAGGCTTTAGTGCTTCCAGGCCACATTCAGGAGGAGCTCTGTTTGGTGGAAACAAGAGCTGGAAGAGAGAGAGAGGCAAGCGAGTCTCAAGCCTGAAGCTTGGTTGGAGGTAACTCAGAGGTGGGCAGTCTCCTCTTCCTGGGAGAACAAGAGGTGGAACTGAGAAACTCCTCTGTAGGAGAGGCTTGATGACTTTGTAGCCAAGACTCCTGAGTGACTGGGGCTTTGCTGGGTTCTTACCCTGGACCTGCCAAGGGGAGGAGGAATTTTCAAGGGCCTCATTGGAGTCCTCCCACGAGCAGCCTGCAATAAGGCAGAGGTCTCCTGCAATGCGCAGAGGACCTACAAGGGGAACTTCCAGATCCTCTTCCTCCCACATCTACTCAGTCCCTGTAGTCCCTCCCCCCATCCCTGCCAATAACCGGTGAAATAGGAGTTTGAGGCTGCAGCTCCTTAAGGAGATCTTTTCTTCCAGGACCTGTTTTTTCCAGGGTATTTCGCAGTGGCTGGGGAGTGTCGGGGCCTAACACAGTCAGGCTGTACCAGGAGCCAGAGCCCAGAGTATTATAATCTCATGGGAAGATAGGAAGAAATGATTAGTGTGTGTTGAATGGCCCTGCTGTGAGCACTGTGAGCTGGACTGGTCCTGGGGCAAAATCAAGGGCAAGTTCTAATCTTATTTTCAGGTAGGGGAAGGGTAGAGAAGGCACTTTCTGGGGCAGCCTCTTGAAAAGCAGGCATAAACAGGGAACAATGGTGCCATTCCTCCCTGACCTGCTCAACCTGGTGCTTGATACGAAAGGGGTGTGTGTGGGTGTGCGTGTGTGTGTGTTAGCGAGAGAGAGCAAGAGGGAGAGACTAAGTATAAACTTGTGAACCCTCTTAGGAGGCTAATGCTTGCTCCCAAATCCCCCCTGGATAGGGATGGATTTGCCCCCTTGTTTTCTTATAAAAACCTGTGTTTTCTAAATGCGATACAAAAAGTGGCTCAGTGGAGCCACCCCTGAACGTCAGGGCCCCTTGATGGCTACCCTTGCTCCTCTTGGCTCCACCCCCTGCCACCCAAAGCTTCTTAACTAGAATAAAAGTTATAGAGCAAGACCGGGGAGACTTCTTCTGACCCTAGGAGAGCAGGAGGAAGGGGTTATAGTTGACCAAAGCCCCATGGAGTGGGAGGGTAGGGGCGAAGACACAGATGCATTGGATTTGGCAAATGTGATGGAACAACCATCAGGAATTGTGTTATAGCCCGTGGATACCACAGAGAGGCGTGGAGCACTGCCTCTGCCCCTGGGGCACTTCCAAGAGGCTGCTCCCCTCATGCCTATCTGCAGCAGGTCAAAGCCAAAGGCACCTGCTTTAGTGATAATGATAATGAATATGATGTATTATTATTATTTTTTGTTGCCAGAGGATGTGGAAGACAAAGAGAGGGGGTAAAGCATTCTCCAAATAGGCATGGCCATTTTGCAATGCTTTCTGCTCCATTTCTCCATCCTGTCAGGATTTGGGGCACTCATGCACACCTGCTTAGTGTGTTTTTCAAACCACTAGAACTGGGACTTGAAGCACAGTTGGCCGTATGGGATCCAGCTCCCTATACACAGGGCTTATCGCTGGGCTATGGGGCTGGCTCCCAGTTAAGGGGGTCAGCAGTATGCACAGAATAAACTCCTCCCAGGCTGGCCTTTCTGAAGCGCTAAGATGCTCCTTGACAAACCTGCCTTTATCTAAACTAATTGCGTGGGAAGCTCACACTTGTCGCCTCTATCTTCCTTTCCATATTCTTGAGATGTCAACTGGCCATGACCTGGCTCTGTCATTGCACTTTCTCTGAGTCTGTGTGGAAATCACTCTCTCTCTCTTTGGATTCGATTTCCTCCTTGGTATTAAGTTGAATCATATGAGATTGCTTTTTCTCTAGGTGGACCAACTCTTAGCAATTCTATATGGTTTAATTTCATAAAATAAGGGTTCATTGGCTCTTGAAGTCCTTTTTTATTCACTGACATTTTAGACCAGAATAATTCCTGTTTCCTCCCTCCTCTGCTCTTAACAAGGTGAATTCACCGTTCCGGGTCACTTACCTACCACTTACCTTCCGGTGCACTGTTAGAATTGTTTTAAGGCAATCCTCACTCCTGGACTAGTGGCTTAGTCTGTTTTCTGGATGTAAAATGCCCTGATCATACTTCTTTGCTGAAGAATTTCTAATTTTCTTATTCTTCAATGTCAGCTTCATGTTACCTGCTTTTAGAGACCTTCTCTGGCTCTCTCAGCTAGAAATCACTTCTCCTTTCTTTCAAGAGCCCTTCTCATGTATTTATTTATTTATTTCTTCTGAGAGAAAGTGAGAAACAGGGAGAAAGAGCCATCAGGGTCCTAGCACGATCGCCCCTAGTTTCAGCCAAACCCGGATCATAGGCACACACATGCTATATACCCTTAGGGAGGTCTGCAGGTGTGGACTTGGGACCTTCCAGTGTGAGTCAACCCCGCAGAACATCAGGCTTTACTGTGGCCCCACGGTCTATGCCGCGTCGCACAGTTGTCCTTATTTAAATATAGAAATGTTTATTGTAGAATATTTGGGGGTGGAATAAGTATAACGAAGGAATGAGAATCACGTGTGACTTTGCTGTTCCTCCCACCAAAAGAGCATATTTCCTCTCCCCTTTGCTTTGGGTTTGGCTATGTGACTTGCTTTGACAGATACATTCCTATTCATTGTGTACTCCAAATAATAACTTTCTCTAATATTTATTTAGGTGAATTATATTGATTTTTTTTAAAAAAAACCACTTATTTAGTTAGTTATCTGTTTATTTGTTGTGATTTTTCAACCCACCAGGTCTGAGACTCGAACCTCAGTTGGCCATGTGGAAATCCAGCACTTTAACCACCATGCCACTTGCTAGTCCCATATTATTCTGTTTTTACTAGCTGACTCACAAGTTGAGAATATCTAGAGGGTATAGAGTGGACCCCATTCATCTTTTTTTCCCTTAGAATCATGGCAGAGATGTTCAATAGGATGTCATATTAGCCATCTGTATTGTGATCTATGCCGCTGTCCTACATGCCTCCCAAACACAGTGGTCAAAGCAGCAAATGTGTCACAACACAGGTCTGGGTATGTGTATGGCTCACTCCTCTGACTTGTAGTCTCTGATGCTGGGGTTACAGCTGGGGCTGTTGTCATCTCCAGGCTCAGCTGGGGAAGGGCCTGCTTCCAGTCTCACTGGCTGATGGCTGGAGGCTTCCCTTCTCCATAGGGCAGTTCATAACATGGAGGCTCGCTCCCAGAAGAGCAAGTAAGCAAGAGAGCAAAAGAAGGCAAAAAGGCAGAAGTCAGAATCATGTCGTAACTTGGTCTTGCAAGAGTCATCTATATTCTATTAAAAGAATGTCACGGGAGACCAGCAGTTGGTATAATGGCTATGTCACTAGACTCCCTTGTAGTTGACCACTGTTCGAGTCCCGGACCTGGTGACTTAAACTCATGCCGGGCGCATGTGTGTGCATGCCCAAGATCCCAGAGGAGAATGGAGAAGGGATTGCAGCATGGCCATCCCCCCTGGGGGGTAATTTCTCGCTTTCTGTCTCTATGTCTTCTCTGTCTTTCTGGTGAACACACGTGCCCTATAGCAAAAACCTCTAAAAAAAAAAAAAAAAAAAAAAAAAAAAAAAAACCGCTGG